AATTTAATTAAATATGTAAAAATATCTAAGGTCTGATGTACAGGTAACAAAAGTAGTGGGCTTTAGGTCTCACCTTTAAAACATCACAAATCTCACAGCTTATGATCTAAACTCAAGCACAAGAGTAAACAAGATATAGCAATTTAAGAACTTTTTTCCAATCTCAATTTTCTTCAGCACATTACATTTACATGTGTACCAATGACCCTAGAAATGAGACTTAGGTCTGTTTCTTTGTGTACTGAACAATAATTATTTTCTTATAACATGGATATTCAGTATGAATATTCTGAAGTTTAATGTGATATTCTAATGGTTTAGATGCACAGAGCAATTGTTTTGCCTATATAATGTGTAAAGAAATTTCTCAGTAAACTTATTTGCATTTGGTAAAACACTTAATAAAAATGGACAAATTCACATATTTTCATTTGTTTAAGACAATTATGCTATAAGATGCCATTGTATGTGTGTGGGTGTGTGTACACTTGTGGAAATTGTAAAATGATGACAACAATATGATTACACATCTTATAATTGAGGGCTCTGAAATAAATAGATGACAGCTTGTTTATCAATGAGCCTAATAGCATTGCTTAGACATATTTTATCTCAAAAATCATTGTCTGGTTAAGATCCAAGAGAGACCTTGATAATGAGGTAATAAACTGCTCTGTGTATCATGTGTATGATGGGACCAAACATGCTGATATGCTCAATATCCAGCAATATATTTGGTGCTTCAGTGAGAAGTCACATGAATTATTAAATTTTTTCAAATATTTTGTCATACATCTGAGAGGAAATATTCTGCTGATTGCATCACATTGTTATGCCTATCAAGTCCTCAATTAAATGTTTTTATCAGCTTGTGTATGGCCTCACTTGACATTGTGTTAATTTTATATTCCTTGTCACCACTTGGCAGTTATCCCCACTTTTATTTATTGTGTGGGATATTTTTTCCCCATCCCCTTCCTCTGCCCACATTTTGGTCTCAAATCTCACCCATGGATACATTGAATTGATTTTGGTCCCAAATTTCTCCCATGGAGTTGATCTCTCAGGGTTCAGGGTAGCTATAACCTTATGATTGTCAAACTAATTTGTAGTCTGTATGTATTAAGTTTATTTAGTTGGCTATCCAAATGTGAATGTCTGGTTTCCTGAGTGCAGCTAATCATTTAGTCAGACTCAACCCCAAAAGATAAGCACAGGTGAGGTTCTAGTTGTCTATGTTTGAAATGGATCTTGGTATGGGATAAACATATGCTAATAAATAGACTAGTAAACTGGTGAGGTTAAGGGACAGTGAATGTGATGTGTGATTTCTGGTTCTTGGTTTTTTTTAATGATTATAGCAAAAGAATTGGATGTATAATCACTAAAGTATTTTCCTTGCTTGGTTAGAGTTTTGTAAATTCCACCTAGAAGATTACTGAATTGGATGTTGTGCCACCTATGTGTTTCTATTTGCTAAATCATTTAGTTCATGTGGGTGCCAGTATCTTTATGGACTTTTTTAATCTCTTTGAATGTGTAAAAACTACTGGATGAATAATATATTTAAAGTTGGATACAGTGGTTGCTGCACAAAAATATTCTTGTTACTGTCCTTTGTTTATATAATTATTTTGTAAGGGTGTCAAATTGCATACATCAATAGTTGCTTTGGAAGCATCAGTTTCTCATGTTTCTGGGACTGGCTATCTCTTTTCTCAGTCATGGACTCCACAAAGGATTCCTATTGTTTGAGCAGTCCAAGCTGCTTAGATGTTGCCTGATAACCAAAATGGATAGCAGGTTACTCATAAGATCCATTCAAGTTTCCTTCACTGATCCTTATTTTCAGTTGGTGAAGCATCCATCACAACTCCAGAATAAGTTCCTGGATGAGTAAAGAATCTTTGCCCTAAATGCTCAGTTGATTAGATCTCATTTTTTATTTTTCCTCAACAAGTACTTGTCTCTAAAAAATAGTTTTGTCAAAAAAATTTATTTTTATTATTTATTAGGATATTCCTGTTTCTCTCTATGTTTAGTGTTGAAGGTGTTAGAGTAAAGAAAGTAGCATGATTAAACAGTGCTAAGTTGCAAATATTGACTTAAAATAATTAGAAAATGAAACAGAAATAGAGTTTTGGGTTTTGCAAGAAGCATCAAACCAAAATGTTACTATATTGAGGTATAGCTTTTAACAAAATCAGATTTATGGGATCCACTCAAATGTCATTTCCACTGAGAAGTAGGAGTGGATTTAGACAAAATGAGGAAAAACAAAGATATAGAGTAAGTCACACAAAAATTATGTATTTATTAAAATGAACAAAGAAAGTGTTTGCAAAAGTGGTAGAGAATATACTTACAACAATGAAGAAAACTCAAAACAAATACTTATACATTCTTTTTGAATTGTGTTGATTTATCCAAACAAAAGTTCACAAAGACAAAAAATGAAGATAACATTTAGTATCTTTTAACAGAATTATTTTGAGACAAGCTCTAAGTTCAACAAAGGTAGCTTACCCAGTCTTCTGCACCATACCATTTTGTATAATATCACTTCCATACTTCATCACTGGCCAGGATAGTTGTGGAGACAAAAGTACACACTTGAAATTGTAATTAGCTCCTGAGAATTTCTCCACTAAACAGTTATGAATAGGGTTAAAAAAAAAAAAATCAACCACAACTCTATACTAAAACTGACTACTTTTAAAATCCTCCCATACATGTGGTGCAAAGCTTGTTGGTTTTGAGACTTCCATAACTCACCACTTGCTGATTTAACAAACCAGTACGTAACAATATCCTAAACTTGTGAAGGAAAGAGAAATAATGAAAGCTAGTGTCTATACATAACCAGTAGTAAGATCAAACTAGAATATTTGTTTATATATACATATACAAACATACTTTGTTAGAAAGTAATTTTTGTTTTTTTGTTATTTGTAACACTAGCAGAAACACTGCCCTATGGGCAACTGTTTGTGCTAGTAATTACTAACCATAGTAGTCATACTTCATTGTAAAAAAAAAGTGAACATTTTCTAAAAAATAGTTTTTTCTTTGGGGGGGGAGTATGGCACAGGAAAAGTGTTTGGATTGTACTCTTTAGTCATAGGCATCATAATGAGCTCAAAATTTTTATAAGTTTTACTGATATAAATCATAATGTTTTTATTTCTTAAAAGTGCTACCCTGTAATGATAAAATAATAGTTTGTTTTAAGAACTCCAGTTTTTTTTAGTACTACATTTAAAAAATTACATCAATAAACACATAATCAAACCCTCGCATGTAGTTCTAGTGAAAATGGTGTTCCTGTTGTGAGAAGAGTACTTTTATTTAAAATTGTGTTCTGTTATAAAGAAATGGTTGTTGCACATACCATAATTATTTTTCTAATTGTCCAATTCTTGAATACCCAAAGTGTAAAATTTTCAATGGATTTTTGTTTGTGGTGCCTTTTAATAGGTGGCGCCACATTTCATAATCCTCAATCACCACTTCTGGCATTGAGATCTTGTATTTCAGCACAACAGATGATGTATTTATCATTTCGGTCACATAGATATGAAAACAGCCATGCCATTGCACTATTATAGTAACATAACATATGCCTTTTAATTGTAAGAGAGGTTTCCAAGGTGGTTTAATCTCATTAATTTCCTCTTTTGAAACACCCAATGAGTAGTAATGTAACAACCAGTGTAACTGCAGTAAAGGCATTTTTTAAATTTTTTGTTAAGCAGTGGTTAGGTTTAAACCTTTTTCTATTATTCTTAAGATCACAATTTATGCTTGATACATAAACCTGCTTCATACCATCAATAGCCTTGATCATGTATAGCTTGTTTTCAATTGATTATCGAAGAATAACTTTTTTTCCCACATAAAAATTGTAAGTTATGACAAGTCCTAACACCTACAGACAGCAAGTTGTATATCCTCTCATTGACTAATAAATCACAATAACTGCACCACACTTATATACACAGGAACCATAGTAAAAAACAAATAACTCATAGGTGCATTGGTACTTAAGAAGCTTCACATAAATACCCTTTTACATGGTATTAAAAAATCTTTTTTAATGACGACTGCAGATACCAGTTGTTTTTATACCTTTGATGGAACAGCTGTGCTTTTTTATATTCAGTTTATTATTTTACTTGTGGTTATATACACAATATTGAGATTGTTATTAAGCACAAAGCTACTCAAAGGACTATCTGTGCTCTACCCACCAAGGGTATCAAAACCTGGTGTCAGACATACCGCTGTGGGGCCAATATTGAGATATCTAATAAAATTCCTTTTTTTTTACACTGATTATAATATTTTTATTATCATTTCTTTTAAATGTCTTGCAGATTTAAATGAAGAACTGGTACAGTTGCTCTTAGAAAGAGATGATCTCCACATGCAGCAGGACTCCATGTTGGTAGATATAGAAGACCTCACAAGATACCTGTAAGTGTACAGTCAGTATTTTCCTAGATGTCATCTTTGTCTGTAATTTTAGTTGCATAGTTTCTCACAAACATATGTTTGTTTTGTTTTACTTTTAACTCAAAAAATAAAGCTACATAATTTTCAAGACTCGAAATAGCATATTGTTATTTTGAACACTTTCTGTGAATTTAATATAAAACAGTTTTAAGAGTTATTGTTGGATATGTTTATAGAAAGGTAATAACAGTGAATGCATGCAAAATGATTTATGGTGTAATTTGAGGAAAATTTATAAAACTTTATTAACATGTATTTTCCAGAATTTTCTTTGTCTTAACTCTAACTGTTATAATGTAAACATTTGTAAAAAATAGAAAGACATTAATAATTGTTAAATTATTTTTTTATAAAAGATGTGATATTGTTGAAAATGTTTTAATGAAATAAGACTGATTTACGTCTCAGTGGTAGTTTATTTAATGTTTTAATATTGAAATCTGTATTGTACTGAATAACATAAGACATTTAACAGTTTTTATGGTCAGAGAAATTCAACACCATTTTTCTTTACAGCAATGCAAAGAATGATGCATTATGTAATCAACAAAGTATAGTACAAGTTGACCCAGCCAAAACAATTAGCAAGTGAATAACCAAGCAAGTGAGTTTTCCAAGCCCGTTCCCTTGGCTGTGGTTTTGCTAGATAGTAGATTATCAGCAGATAATTAGAACAAGTTGACCCAGCCAAAACAATTAGCAAGTGAATAACACAAATGAAAGTGAATCTTTTCTCTTTTTCATGTCACCTCAGATGTTGTATACTATATTGTACACATTTGTATCCTACACTTTTGTGTTTGGTGAAACGAAATGTAAATATGAACTCATTAGAATAGAATAGTTAGAATGCAACATGAAAAGTGTATAAATTGTATGTGTATACTTGTGTTTAATCTATATATATGTATCAGTTTTGATATAAGAAGGCTTTTCTTGTTATTATATAAGATGTATTGCAAGTAGTGAAGCATTTGACGTTATGATTATACGGTACATAGGTTTGTCTTTATAAGTGCATTTTTTTTTCCTGTTTTTGTTCATCCTGCTACACAAAAGCCAATAATGAGAGAAATCATGTTACATTCTATCAAATTGTGCAGTATCTAAAGTTATTAGAATTAAGTATGGCAAGGAAACAAGTAAGGTCAATGAATTTATAAAACAAAAAAAAACAGATAACCAAGTAATGTTATAAATCAATGTTGAGCCATAGTCTCAAACTGTTGACAAAAACTGTGTTAAATACAGTGTGTGTTTTTGTCATTGACTTTATATAAGATGACTATGATACAGTTGTATCAAGTTAACTCTTTGTGAGTTTACATGTCAACCAAGGTATAGTAACTCAATGACTTATAGAAGTAAAAGTACTAACATTTGCTAAAGAAGTGACCAATATGAGTGGCATGAACTTAAAGATTAACAACTTAGTAAATATTAAAGTTATCAGATGGGGTCTTTTCTAAAAATATCAGAAGGAATAATAATCTAATTAATATAATTATGAACTAAACAGAGTAAGGTCATCAGAGAAAATACTTCTACAAATCAGATAGAATTGTCAGATAAAATACTTTTACAAAACAATAGACAGAATCAGCAGATAATTAGCATCATTATTATGAACTAATAAAGTCATCAGAGAAATTACTTCTACAGAACAACAGACAGCATCATCAGATAATTAGCATCATTGAACATAGTGATAAGGTGAGTAAATATGCTTCCTTCAGACACTGTTTTCGTTAGTTTTCAGTAAATAAAATTATCTTTGTAAAATATGGAGCACAGAGTACTGAAAAAGGCTTAGATAAATGAGTTAATGTTTTCAGGATAATTAGAGTCCTCAAAAATGTTGCATATGAAAAATATGATGAATAGAGTTTAATGTCTATGTTGAATGTTTTAAGTTGTCATTAATACAGAATATGAGAATGATCCGATGATAGAAATTTGGAGAAATATCTGAAACAAAATGATGCCTTTTATCAGTTGGTAGGAAATAGGATAAAGAAGTGAATTACCTCACATCCTCAAATGGGTTAAAAATTAGTGACTTGAAGTAGGTTAGAAGTGTTATTGTGGTTTTTTAACAAGGTAAGATTGTGCCAATTATAATTAAAGAACATTAAAACCTCCAATGTATTTTCCATTCAATGCTCATAACTTCATCAAACGTCATAGGTGAACATTTCAATTACTACTTTAAATATTTATTGTTGTTATAAAATTACTCTCAATTTATTTGTAATATAAAATTTGACCTGAAGAGTTTTAGTGTGCATTTCACATGGGATAGTGTGAACTTTAGAAAATCTTATCCTTTTAGATCATGGCTAAGAAAATAGCAATGTTAAACAATTGCTCTTTTAGTGTGTTAATTTAATAATAACAAGCTTTTCATATTATATTTTCCTTTTTTAAACTTTGTTTTGTTATGGAATACTTAAAAGTTAATTCAGTGCTGTATGTTAATGTGAATAATTAGATACCAAATAGCAGCATAACTACATTCTACTTATTGAAAACCTTGATATACGCTATGATTATGTAATTTGCATTCACTTTTCATCATAAAGAGGCTGAACACAATTTTTCTTTTTGTAATTTTAAAATTTCAGAATAAATTTATAACTACAATAAACTACATTGTTAATTGTACCATTGGCCAGAAAGCTAAGATTTCTGAATTATTAGATGAAAAACAAAAACTGTTTTTATAGCATTGGGTTTCAGTTCCCATAGTATAATAGGACTATTATGTAGCTCTGCAATAAAACACTTTTTTATACATGCACTTAGACAAATAATTTCGTTTTGAAGTGGATTTCTTTTTAGTTGGGGCACAGCAGCTCATAGTTCCATCTCTTGACCAATTTGACATCTAATTACAGCTGCGGCTGTTGATAATTCCCTCTTGTATTAATAACAGGCAAAAAAAATATTAACAGTTCAGTCTCACCACAGTGTCCCATTTATTTTTAAACCCTGGTGATGTTTTTGAGTGATACACTTCTATAATTATCTAAATCTAAGATTTAGCATCTAACCTTTAAATAATTTTCTTTAATCTGAATGACTGAACTTAAACCAGAATTATCTATTTGTACAAATACTAGTTATGTTGTTTGCATTTCATTAAATTATAGTGAGATAGCAAATTAGTTTGATTTTCTAAACTATTATCATATTAGTCATAGTGGTAATTTTTTCAGGGTTTGAGTTCTAGAAAGGTAAACATGACATTTTGTTTGAGGAATATGTAAATTAATACTTATTGGTTGTGAAACAAATGTGAAAAATAAGAACATATATTTTGGTGTACATGTTCATACTTGACGTATGTTTGACAGAAAAAAAAACGCTAATTAAAACCAATGCAACATAGCAACTAAATGTGTTTAACAGAAGTTACAAGTTTCTTCTTTTGTGCAATCAAAGGTAGTTTGCTTTGTCCTGCTGCATGACATCTAAATTTGTTATATGTGATAGCAGTTGTTCCAATGTTATATTTATACTAATTTAATCAATAACTAATACATGTTTTTGTTTCAGTTCAAAATGTTGAATTTTTTAAGAATCTGTACATTTTATTATTACAATTTCAACTTATCTGTTAATGAAACTTATTGTATTTGTTAAAAACTTCAAATGACCGTGTGCGTATTTATCAGGGAATTTATAATATAAATAACATTTTACAGAAAATGTTTTCCAATGTGATGCACATTTTAGCATTTTTCCTAATATTCCAAATTTGTATATTCAAAGCATTATTAGAAACTAGCTTTCATGTATGTTTGATCAACAGAATATCTTACCTAATCTCTTTAACATAAAAGTTTTTGTTCCTAGATTCATTGTTTGTTTGTTTTTCAACTTATAAGTATAATTGAGATTCATGGCATAGAAAGTAATTTGACTAGATGTTTGAAATTTATAGAATATTGCATAAATTGACAAAATGTATTTTCAGCTTATGTTTCCATGACTTACAAGTTATATAAAAAAAAATTACAGCAGCATGCCATATCTTTTATTTCTGTGGAACAGTTATGTTTGAAAAGTTTAATCCTCATTGTTATTAATAACAATAGCAAGGTTTTGCTACTAAATATTTCAAAATGTTTAAGGATATTTCACAATAAAAACCCATGTATTACCTGTATGTCTGCTATTAAAGACTTGTAATTTTACCTCTATTGTTGTAACTAGCTCTTCCTGAAAATAATTACATATACTAGTTACACAACAGTCTTATTTCATGATCAATTAATATTTTGGGTGCCATTTCAAAGCTGAATTTTTCTTAATATCTGCGAGTAGATACATAGTTTTAAATAACTAGTTGGTAACATGCCAGCATTAATATTGCATTCAAGAATGTTTTTTGTTTTTTTAACCCCTTTTCCTGTTGTAGGTTATTTGATGGTTTTTATGGATATGCTTATTTGACTACTTACTGAAGTAGGTATGAGTGAAACATATCCTTCTAGTTAATGAAAATATAATGAATTAATGAAGAAATTTGTTGTATTTATCCTAAGTTTACATTCTCTCTTGAGTGAATGTAACTTCACTAACCTATCAACATTCACATGCGCTTTGAGCATCACATGATGCTCATATGAATCTCTTCTAGTCTTGTACACTGTAGCAAAACAACCAGTTCATACTGCCACATTCATGAGCATCAGCTGCATATCGAATAAATGTAGCTGTGCATCACATATGATACTCAGGCACTTTAGCATTATATCTTATGATGTACCGAAAAGGATAGGCTTGATATTATACAATTGTAGGTAAAATGTTCAGTAAATGTGTTTGAAAGTACTCAAAGAAAAAAGTAACAAAAATATGAACTATAAAAAGTTTAAACATATCGCTTAGTTTCTCTCTCTCGAAATTTACAATTGAATTTATTTTTTTATATAAAAATGTAAAGCTACTAGAATATATTGAATAATAATGTTCCTCATAACTTACCCTTGAATTTTTTTAAACTGTCAAATTTGTAACAGAATTTGCTTCAAAACAATAACCATGTTAAGGCTCTATTGTACGTTTTATACAAAATTAAAGAAAAAAAATTGTTTGTACTGCAGGATTCAGAGACTTAGTTTTACCAATATTACTTAGTACCCCTCTTTTTGTAACATATATATATTCTGTAAATTGTTTGTGACAAATTTGAAAAGACTTGTCCTGTACACATTTATTTGTAGGTTAACATTTTATATGAATATTGATTAAGCCTAACCTTACGTTTTTATTAAATGATAGTTATATAGCAAATTACAGCAAAATATCAATGAATGGCATTATTGGGCATCACTTTTATGGTTCTGAACAAATGTAAATGAAATTATGAGTAGCATACATTCCTGAACAGACTATTAAATTTTTTTTATTCTGTGAAACTTTATCACACCATATGCAACTTAACCCTCAAATCATCAACTTATTTTATATTCTTTGCTATCAGTGGGGATCTACATATTACATTATATTGGGTTACGTTTCTTGTTACAACACTGTATAAAGAAACGACCAAAAAATTGGGGGAAATAACTCATGTTTTTATGTAAATTACAAAGAGAACCCCAGTAGCAATTAATAGGATTAATCACATTATTAACGGTACTTTGCAACTTCTGCTACTTCTATAGTACTGGGAACCCTGTAACCAACAATCATAAAACCACAAGTGTAATGAAGTACAATGTTAGTGAGACACAAATTCAAGGATTAGAAAAGAACAATATGTTGTGAAAGAGGAAGGTTTATTGTTTCTCTAGTAAATATATTAATGTCTTAGTTTTACAATCACACATGTTCTTTCATTCTTTGTTCCACTGAAAATTACATCATACAATGTTTAAGAGTTATTGTTCAGAAGGAGCTACACACTTTAGTATGTCATTTGAACCACTGATACAACTACTATTTATTTTTTAATTACACTATTTTCTGCTATTTATATTGTAAACTCAGTACCATCAGCCATTATAAATCTTAAAATAATTGAAACTGTAGAAAATATGTTAATTATTTTGTTTGTTTCTAAAATCAAAGCTATAAAATTTGCAAAAAAAGCTTTTATTAGTTAAACGTAGTACATAGACAAAAATACTTCCAATGATATACAATTTTAGGTCTCAAATTTCTGTATACTGAACACTAATAACCATTTCAAAGTATACATTTTAATATTATCAAATTGAAAAAAAAAGGCATTAAGAAAAACATTAATATATTCAAAAATTGAAAAATAAAGGAATTATTAAAAACATAATTAATATATTTAAAAATTGAAAAAGGATGTTAAACAAGTAAAAAATTTAAAAAATTAGTAATTTTTTTAACGTCTTTTTTTTATTTTCTACTATAGCTTGATAACAATTCTCAACAAGAAACAATGAAAATTGTTTAACATTTTCTTGACCATTACTTATTGTAACAAAAACATGTGGCCCAATATTTATCTGGAAACTACTTCTGTGATAAGCAGCAATTAAGAATTCTTCTTGGGAATTTTAATTGTTATCTATTTAAAAAAAAAAAAAAAACACCTTAGTACAATAAATTCAGATTTTTTAAGTTAAATTTTAATTATGGTATTTGAGTTGAGCATAAAAGTGAAACTATGTAAAATACAAGTTTAAATGAGTGAAAATAAAATTCAAATAAGTACAAGTTTTTCATAAACATTTAGATTAAGTAACTATAAAGGCCTGGAATAGTTTTAGTTATTTGGTAGGTGTGGGTGGGAAAGTTAGCAAATTGGATAGAAAAAAGCAGAGGGTTGTTACAAATGGAGTTCAGTCAAACTGGATTAATTTCACAAGTGGGGTACCTCAGGGCTCAGTCTTAGGACCTTTGCTCTTTTTGATTTACATCAAGGACATAGATGAATGGATAGTTAATAAATTACTTAAGTTTGCAGATGATATTAAGGTCTTGGGTGTTGCTAGCTGTGAAGAGGATGATTCTGATTTACAAAAGGATTTAAGTCATTTAGTGAGTTGGGCAAATAAATGGCTCATGGGTTTTAATTATAATAAATGCAAGATAATGCATGTGGGTTATCATAATTTGAATTATAAGTATAATTTGGATGGGAATAACCTTAGTGTTATGAAGGAAAGGGATCTTGATGTAATAGTCAATCAGTCTCTAAAGCCATCCAAGCAGCGTGCTGTTGCTAGTGGTCGGGCAAATAGGATTTTAGGTTGTATCTATAAAAATATTGAATACAAGTCTAAAGAGGTTATACTTTCATTGTACAGGTCACTGGTTAGGTCCGACACTTTAGGTAATAATTGTTGTTCTAGTCTTGGGTCTCCTTACCTTACGGTAAGGACGATTGTAATAGTT